TTGAGTGACCCAACAGCGGTGACATGGTGGCTCTAATTTCTCAGTCCTTGTTATGAGTATAGTAGCCCATCATTTTTGTTTTCAAAGGCTGATTAACACAACTGATTATGGTATCATCAGTGCCAATATAACTGTGACAAGGAACGTATCGGCAATCTAGCTAATTGGGTAATTTGGAATATACTTGAATAGGTCAAACCTGAGATACCCTGATTAGTGGTTTGTGGCTTTCCCATTCAAGTTGTAATCATTCCCCTCACTCAGAAGAATGAATGTCCTTGTGTATAATAACGAGTCTGTTAATTGAGCTCGTAGTGTAACCGGACCCCCTCATTCATTGGGAGTTGGCTCTGAGCTCCCCTTTCCTTCAGTTGGTAGACGCCAGCACTTTAGCAGGCATTGTGTGTTCCTTTATGCTTCGTGAACCTTGCTGTCCTATGGTGCTGTAAAAATCCACAGAAAAGACTTGAGACAGCTACAGTGGGTATTAATCTTAAATTATGTTGGGGTCAAGTCTTGGCAAGTCTATCTTATTTTTCTTGTTGACCCCCTCTCCCCTCTAGTCCTCTCTGTCTGAACTCTATTTTGGGAGACTGTACACACCCCAGTGATTAAGTTTCCCCTTCCTCTCTTGCAGAGCATTCACTCCTACTATTTCCCCCTTCATTTCTTCCCCTCTTCTTTTCTCTTTTCTACTAGTAATTTAACCTCAGTATGAAAGTGAATATTGAACTTAATACATGTTGCCATTTGATGTTCAATCACTGTCTATATTATTTGTTTGGTTTCTTTTTATACACTAAGTCCATTGAGACTATAGAGAATGATTCTGTAAAAAAAAAAAAAAAGGAAAAAAAATTCAGAGATTCCTGTTATTTTCTAGTGGTTTAAAAGTTAATTTCCAGTAACTTATCAAACTAAATATTCATGTGAGAATATTTGACAATACAAAGAAAATAATATGCTAGATTAGTTCAAATTTTAACGAAAATAAGAATCACAGGGTAGCTTGTTAAAGATGCAGCCTTCCAGGCTTTTTGCCACAGAAAGATTAATTTAGTAGGTCTGGGGTAATCTCAAGTCTGAGTTTTTTCCAAACAAGTTGACCAGGTAAACTTCACAGGATAAAGTAAGAAAATCATTGCTCTAATTGATAGAAATAACTATATCATTTTGTTGCTTTGCCAGAATATCTATAGATGTCAAAGAGTCTTTGTAGAAATAACCTGTACTAGACCATTGATTAGCATTGTATAATTGCTGCATAGTAACTCCAAAAGTTAGTGCCTTAAAGCAGTAAACAAAGTCTATGAGTCACCTAGGTGATTCTTCTGGGCTGGGTTGGCTCATCTGGTGCTGGAAAACCTACAGTGGCCTTATTCGTATGTCTTGTGGTTGTCTTGAAGTCAGCTGGGGCAACGGAGATGATTTGGGCACAAGTCTCTTATGCAGAAGGCAAGCCAAGGATTCTCCACATGGCAGGTTCAGGCTTCCAAAGAGCAGCAAGAGAGGGAAAGCCCCAGTGCGCAAACACTTTTGAGGTCTCCAGTTTGATGATTACATCGTCCCGTTAGCCAAAAGAAGACATATGGCTAAGTCCAGAGTTAAGGTGGGAGAGAACTAACCAAGTGTGTTGATTCAGAAAGGTGAATTAATGCAGCTGTTTTTGCAATAGCATAATTTCCGTGCTCAGCTGAAAATGCAGTTGACTACTGAATGTCTATCTGTATGTTAGGAAAAAGAAAAAATTAATCTTAGTGATCAAATACCTGAGTTAAACCAATCATTCCACTTAGTAACTGGAAGATGGATAAACAATCATTCATTTTCCCAGTTTCACTTTCTTCATCTATGAAATGTGAATAATCTTACTAATATCTGCTTCACAGAGCTCTTTAGAGAATAAATTAAATACTGGACATAAGAATATTCTATAAACTGTAAATGCAATAAAATTCAAGGTATTTATAGATGTAAATGCTTAATATGACCATTCTCTACCCCTCAAAAACTTAGTAAAGTATTTGTTAAATCAGTGAACTTCCTAATATTTCTGTGACTTGACTACTGTTCTCTAGTCCATCCTCAGCCTGCTATTAGAATTATTTCCCTTAAAAAACAAAATTGTCATGTCATTCAGCACTTTAGCAAATCTCTGATAGCGCTCCATTTGCTTATACAATAAAAGCAGAATCAGCATTTGAAGACTTCCCAGCCTGGGTCCATTTTCCTACCCAGCCTCCTTGACGCCATTAAATTTTGTATTATTCTCTTTATACATCAGACGTTCATGATTTCAGGATAGACCCATTTCCCTCAAAGTAGAATGTTCTTATCTTGCGTCTTCACCTTGACAAACTTCCACTCATCCTTCAACATCTCGATCAAATGTTCCTTTCTCATCCTGCAAACCTTTAGTGGACCAAGAAGATTTCTCAACTCCTCCAATGTTAAGTTTTCTACTTTCTTTATTCCCAAAGGACTTTGTAAATAGCACTAGCACTTATCATAGTGCATTATAATTATGGTGTGTATGTTGTCTGTTTCCCTGGCTAGACAGTGAGCTACTCCAGTACCAGAACAGTGCAAGTTCTCAGTATATAGTTTTGAGCAAAGGAGCAAATAAATATTTGACTTCTTTATCCCTTCCCTGGTTGGCCAGATTATGCTCTGATACTTCACTGACCATACTCAGTGCCCTGGATTTCCCTTTGCCAACTCTGAATATAGACTGAATTATCTTGACCAGTGGTCCATTCTCACCTCTGAAACCCAATTACTTACATCTTTACCCTCAGGTTACCTACCAAAATTTTGACCCACTCTCTTTCCCGATCTCCTAGTAATAGATTATTTCCTACTCCATCTTTTCTACTACCATTTGAAGTTACAGTGACACTCCAAATGGCTTGATGATCCAAGGAATAGTGGCGAAACTGATTTTTTTTGTGAGTGTGCCTACCATGAACCTTATGGAAGAAGTATTTTTCTCTCAAATACAGCTAGAAACTGTGACTCTCATAGATTAAATAACTTACCCAGTGTCACGTAGCTAAATATGTGGCATATGGAATTTTAACCTGTTTTGTCGGACCAAGAAAATAAAAAGATCTCTTCCTTTTAACTCTACCACAATACTTTGGCAACATAAAAGGCTCAAACTTCCTTTCCAAAGGCTCACATTCAGGAAAGCTAAAGCTATAGCTATGATTTGGGGGCTAGTAAAGGTTTACACCTGCCTCATTTGACTATGAATCTCTGACCTTACTATCAAGAAAAGATGTTAAGAAGTTGTAAATCAATTTAAAACAAAGCTTCTAGGCACAAAATCATGTGTTGGTGGTATTATATTAATAGTTATTTTGCCTCCCAAGTTTCTAGTTTATCCAGTGTTTTAGAGTAAATATGATATAAGAATATAAGGGTCACTTCAAACAAAAATCTGTACAACTTCAGTCCCTCTGCTTCAACTTGTAAGTTCAAGATTTTATCTCCCTTCTGGGCAAGAAGAAACTTTTGTTTTCATTTTTTACTAAAAATAATAATTACGGGTAAAATGATATAGTTTAAAAGACTTGGCTCTTATTCCATCTTTGGAATTTCCCACCCCAGAAATCCTTTCTGTCTTGGCAAAATATGACATAACGATTCGAAAGAAAGAAAGAAAGAAAAAACTCACTTAAGTGTTTGAGGCCAGAAGTTAATTGAATAAGACCTTGGATTCTGATGAGTTTGTGTTTTATGGTTGATTAACTTGTTTTAATACCAAAAAATGCTTAGGAAACCTAATTATCATGCCACTTAATCTGAGTTATTGGCTGATTTCTGCTAGTTTCTGGATATCTTATTGACCAAGTTATATTTCCTACTGTGACGTCCAAGAGACACTGAATTTGTTTTGAAAGAAAAATTTAGGTTCAGCATATGAATAATTGCCCCAAATCAGTAAGATTAAACTCCTAGATTCTTAGATCCTAACACCAGAGTTTGCAATTTCCATGCAATTTCCAGTTACCAATTTCCTTCTGGCCCTAAGAACAGGATACATAGTATGAAAAAATAGAAGCCTTAATATTTTTCTATAAATGACTTGTTTTCTATTAGTATGGCTACTGCCACATCATTGGTGTCTTTTTCATTTGTTTAAAATAAAAACATGGATGCCAGCTGCCTAGTTGCAAATAAAAAAACAAGAGATGTCATAACTGAAATCACAGTATCTCCTTCTGGAGCCTGCCAGCCACACTGTACAAGAAAAAAAAAAAAAAAGACTCATCATTGGCAAGCATTGGCATTTCTGGTTCCGACTGGTACGTTTGATGGCTATCTTCGGTTTCTGGAGCGAAGCAAGAGAGGTAGCTAGACACAGGCCTCCTAAAGAACTATTGAAAACTCCTATGAGATTCTTTAAAACAGGATTTTTAACTTAATATGAGCTCCATAGATACATTTTAGGAAGTCTATGAACCTCTCATACTGTTGTTCTTTGCAAATTTTTTTTTTGGCATTTTTCTGATGAGAGGTTCCGTAAGATCGATCAGAGTCTCACAGAACTCTGTGACCCATAAAAAAAAAAAAACTAGCTTAAGAACAAATACTTTCATGCTCTTCAAACTTTTAGGCATAGATATTTTTTCTGGGACACCAGGGAATCATTAGGACCAAGAGAGTAATGAGTAAAGCAAAGGAAGAGTGAGCCCCGGCTTTTTGCCTAGTGCAAATGGAGGCTACACGGACCAGACATTTCAAGAACAGAATTGTAGGAAACTGAGTTGGTAGATTGGATGGGATGAAAGCAATTCTCATATTCCTCAGAATTGCCATTCCCCAGAAGAGTGATACAGAACCCGATGGAAGATGGCTCTTTGTAGTACCAATTATTTAGGAACAGAGCACTGAAATCACCGAGTTACTGAGATCTGTGGATTTAACCTAATTTGTTTCTCCTACAGATATTGAACTGGACAATTGCTACACGCAAGGTACGATGCCCAGACAGAAAAGCTATGTGGTAAATTAAACAGGAATTAGAAAGAAAGAATAAGCAAGGCTTGATGCAGCCAAATTTGTAAGAACCTTAGGACACGATGACAGCTCTTTGAGAGGCTTTGTTGATTGCAAATTCTCCCAAAGCCATAGAAATTCAGAGCTGGAAAAACACCTGATGATGACCTAGTCCAGTCCTCTCATTGTGCAACAGAGAAACTAAAAGCCTCGCTCAGGGTCATTTAGTTGAAGTGACCAATACTTGGACTAAACCTTTGGTTTTCCTTCATCTGGTCCATTCATCATTCCACTGTTTTAGCTTGTGACTCCACAATCTGTCTACATTCCCTTTTATTTGTGTAATCAGCCAATTTCAGAAACCCCTGCAGCCCCCACCCCCCACCAAATACTTAGATGCCAGAATACAGTCCCTGGATCTCCTTCCTCTGGATGTCAAGATGCCCATTCACACACCAAGAAGGAAGATGATTCAGAAGTAATTATTAAGTAGACAAGATGACAAAAGATGGAACCTGACCAATTCAAAAACTAGAATAATTTCAATATTTAAACCCAGCCTTTGCTCAGGAACAGAAGCATCCCTGGCTGTTTAAAATCACAGGCTCAACTGGTCCGCTCCCTCATGATGTCATATACAGTCTGACGTTGTCTGGGTAACTTGGTAAACATACTGCTTCCTCCGTTGTTTAATTCCCTTCCCTGAGTAAGATCCTGAGGCAACCAGGCTTCATTAGTTCAGGTGCTAGCCTCGGGGAGCTACTTGTTTTAATTAGAGGGATGAAATGGCATTTTAATTGTGCACAATGATTAATAAACATGCTGAGCTGCCGCATAATGATCTGCTGCTCCAGGAGCTTTCTCCCTTTTTTCTGATACCTCCATCCATTAACTGATTGCTATCCAGGTGGAGGGCTCTCAGGTTCTTCTTCCAACCCAACTGTACACTGTCTGGCCTCCAATTTTTCTGCTAATAATAATTATTAGAGCTAAGTCCCTTTTTTTTTGTAGTAATAGAGAGACAAGACTAGTTGGGGAGCACTCACAGAGTGGTATTCAGTCTATGTCATTTATTTCACTAAACTTCCTTGTAAAGGGGTGATAATAATAGTACCAACCTGAGGGGGCTTTGCAAAGATCAAATGGGACAATGCATGCAAAGCACTTAGCTGAGCGCTGGCCCAGAGCAGGCTCCCTGAAAGTGCTAGCTACCATTATCATCAGTAGGGTTACTGTTAGCATCACCATCTTTAACTTTGGCATCCTCATCATCACTCCCTTCACAAGCATCATCTTGGTCAAGATTAGACACTTCGATGTGGATTAGACTCTTCGATGTAGATTAGACTCTGAGAGGTCATCGTGTCCACTACATCGCATCTAATTCAGGAATACTTTTCTGAAGGGGGAGGTTGACCAGAGGTTTTCCCAATTTCTCCTTTAAGTTGTATGAGAGTAGTTTGGAATGACTTACGGGAAACAGGCACAAAGAAACTCTTGTATCTTAAAGGCTTCATCTCAGCTCCTCAGTAGCTGAATAAAATCCTAGGTTTGTATCTGAACTTCAATGAAAATGGAAACCAGAAAACTGGATTATGAAGTGACTTCCCCTAGAAAGCTGCGTGTGCTTGGCATATGTAATCATTTCATTGGCCACCATTATTATTTGGTGAGTCTTTCCAACATTGTAGCTACTTTCCTTACTACAGACACAAATAAGCTGTTTTCCTTTGTGTCCCTTGGAAATCATTCCTCAAAGTCATATATCTGTCTCCAAGTCACTTACTTGACTTGACTTGCAGGGAATAAATCTTGATGAAACCCAGGGCAGTTGCCACTATTCGCTATTTGCAAATGGCTATTGTGATGCTGGATATTATGCAACTGATCCTGTTCCTTAGTTTGAATTATTAATAATTCAAGTTAGGTGACTTTCTGATCTACTTATCCTTATATTTTGATATGCTACTATAACTGTACACCATTGCAAGTCACTGTATGTCCAAGAAGAGAAGAATGGGTATGAAATGGCTTTCTATCCCCCCAAATGTTAAGGACTTCATGGAAACAGGTCTGACTCACTGAAGATGCTTTCTGTACACAGGGTCATTACAGTTCAGTGAAGCAGATATGATGGATTACATGGGCCACATTTTACCTTGCCTCCAGGGCACTTCTAATTCTTGTTGTAGTTCCTTTAAGGGCACACAGTTGTCTCCAAGAGTCAAAGAGGGAAAGGGGAGTGAACTTTTTTGACCGTGGTAGGGCAGAGAGAAAGATTTTTAAATAGATGCTCTACTTGAAATATCTAGGACAGGGCAGAAAGAAAAAGAAAACTAAATGAGTGCTGTTACCTTCCTATATCCCTAGCTAGGAAGTCTTTAAGATCACTTACCTGCAGTTCCACTGAAATATGGCTACACACTTATTAGAATGACTCACATGAAAAATGCTGACCTTATGAAGTGCTGTTGAGGATGCGAAGAAACTGAAACTCTCATACCCTGCCGGTGTGATGTTTGTTGCATTTTAACAATGTAAAATGGTACCTTTTTGGAAAACAGTCTGTATGCTCTTAAGAAATTAAACATACAACTCCCATACATCCAGCATTCTACTCCTAGGCATTAACCTGGGAAACAAAAGCATGTCCATATAAAGACATATAAAAATATTTATAGAAGTTTATTTGCAATAGCAAATACAGCTTGTTGAATGTCATCAGTAGAGCTATAATAAATATAATTAATTAAAAAGAACTTAGCTGAAATTTTTTGAGCATAGTGTCTATGCTAATAGCACTACTTATTGAAATGGTTTTTTTTCTGAGTCACAATATAATGTATTAATCTCTGATGAATATATAGAGAGATATATATAATATATATATTTCCCATTAAAAGCCTTCTATTCTTATGTAAAGAGATGGGCTCAAAGAAACCAATGCTTCTATTCATATATAAACACGTTAAATATACTGAGACTTGTTTTTAATAAACAACCAAAGTAACAGAAATACAGCTGCATAAATATACTTGTGGTAAACTCTCACTGTCTAGGTTCTTTTGAATAATTATTCATAATAAATTAAGGACTTAGATTCTTTTTCTAATTGTTTTTCCAATTTTCAAAGAGCCCAAGAAGAGAGATTTTTCTGGAGACTCCAAGTATAATACCTTACCTATCATCCTCTGCCCAGTGCCTTAGCGTAGCAGAGTCAGTCAGTCCTAGACTGATTCAGTGAGTCAATCCATTAATGAATCCTTTATTACCAATGGATCCCTTCTTCACATAGTTTACTTTCACCTTCTCAACTTCATCTGATCTTTCTTCCGATTTTTCTGTAGCCATTACAATGCTAAGGTATTGGGGAGCAATTCAAGAATACTCATTTAAGATATACCTGTAATTTTAATACATTATTTTCTTTCAAAATATCCCAAGCTCTAAAAAATCGGTTTATAATAAAATGGTTTTGGAAAAAAAGATGGTTTTTGAGAAATGTATCAACTTGGGGGGAAAAAGCCTACTTAAACATAATGCAGACTGATATGTAGACTGAAACATAGTGTAGATTCATATAACTGTCAAATCAGATGCACATGTATTTATAATATATTAGTACTAAATTTATATTAGTCATGAATGCTCTTTAATAATTAGGAGCTAAGTAGATTGTAATAATTTAGATGCATTTCTTTATACTGATTGATTAGCTTAATGTTATTCTCTCTTTGTTAGGAACTCAATACAGGTACTGAGTGCTTATTACACAATAAAAACTATCAGAACAGTAGTTTAAAATTATCTCAGTGATGAAAGAAAGAAGGAGAAAGAGAAATGAGAAAGAAAGAAAGAAGGAGCAAGCCAGACTTGAAAACCCTGTCTTAAAAGGATAGGATGAAAATATTAAATGTGCAAATTGGTAAGAGAAGTCTAGTGAAGCCCTAATCTTCTCATGAGATACTGATGTAAGCTTAAGTCAGCTGACCTCTCATTCTCTTGCCATTTCAACCTCCACATCCACCATGACTCACCTTTTGGCATCCCCTTCTGGTTCTCCTCCCCTCCTGCTCCCTACCCCTAAATAAAACCCAGTAAGAAAAAGAAATCAGAGTAAACAGTGGAGACTTAGCTGATGCTGTCGGAGAGAGTCAGATAAGGTTCTTTGTGTCACACACTTCCTGTCACGTGACACTTGTCTTCCTCTAAAGCGCTGTCTCCCTTACTGCAACTGAGATTTTTTTTCTCCTTTTCTTCCAAACAAGACTGGCTGCTTCTGTCTCCTTTGTTTTACAGAGCAATTCACCTCCACCGCAGACCTGTATATTCACAGACAAAACCAGAAATCCACGCAGTTAATATGTCTCTCCATCCTTAGAAAACATTTGAGTCCCCATGTCATTATTTGAGCTTGCCTTTGCAACCATCTGCACTCAAGTGACTTGGCAAAAGCTTCTCCTAAACGTGTGCAATGATCCCCACAAGAGGAACCTTCTTACCGTCTACTAAGATTATTGAATAGTCATCATATCATTTTACTGATATATACTAATGCTGACCGAAAAATAACAGAAGGTAAATTGTAGTCATATGTTAGATAAAACAAACTCAGAGCTGGAAAAAAAAAACTGGAAAGGGATTAACAAAACACGTACAGCTGGCAAACGATAAGGCTAAGGAGTCATGATAGAAAAGATAGACTGGAAGCAACTGGTGACAATGCGGTGGTTCATGTTCCTGATGGTTAGTTTTAGAGTTCAGTGTAGCTCTCTGTTTCTAAAACTTCAGTAAGTTTCAAAACAAATAAATAAATAAACTGAGGCCTCATGCCCAGTGACACTGACTAAGTAGGTCTGAGATTGGTTCAAAAGTTGACATTTTTACCAGCTCCCATATGATTCTGATGCAGAGGAGCTGTAGACCTGGTTTTGAGATCTCAACCTGTAAAATGTGTAAGTTCTCTGAGGATCTTGTTGAAATGCAGATCTTGATTCTGTGAGAGCAAGGTGTGTTTTTCTAATAAGCTCCAGAGTATGGCCCATGGCGCGATCCTTGCACCACACCTTTGCATAGTGAGGTAGTAGAAGTTTGAAAATTGAGTTTGAGATAAGTAACACATGATTTAGACGGTTGTCCATAAAAAGTGATCTTATTGGGAAAAAAACCAAGTAGATTCCTTGCTTTTCCCGGTGCATCTCCTCACTGGCCTGATGCAATTCCTCAGGTTTGCTTCCCATTATAGAGTTACTTGAGCTATAATTAAGAATTGTGGATTAAATAAGTCCTTCTCTTTCTTGGTTTAGAATATAATATTTGGGCACCATCTATAATGGGGATTGGAAAACTACTCTAAGCAAGACAAATTTGGCTGGTGCCTTTTTTATAAATAAAGTATTATTGAACACTGCCATATCCATTGGCTTATATGCTGCCAGTGCCTACTTTCCTGCTAATGGCAGAACTGAGTAGTTGACATAGAGATCACAAAATCTAAAATATTTCCTATTTGGAACTTTAAGAAAAAAATTGATGACCTTTGACCTGTGACAATCCAAACTTTAGTTTATATTAAATTCCAAGCTTTATTTTCTGCAATTGGCCCAGAAGTATTTCCATAATTTGATGTAGTAAAAGAAAAGGACAAAAATCCTTTGTTAATTCTGAGATTTTCCACAGGAATTTCATTGTTCTTTCCTTCTGTAACTTAATGTACCTCATTCTCTGCTGTTATGTTATTTACTCAGGCATTTGTTTTGTTCTTCTGTTCAATAAACAGTTTTTCACAAAGACTTGGTAAGTTCTTGAGGAGTTACAGAGGTGATCAGAGGAAAGAACTGTCATTCTACATTTGATCACAAGAAAGTGCATGGAGAAGTGGAGATTTAAGTTTGTTATTGAAAAAAAAATGTAGGCATTTACTTGCAAAGAAGCAAAGAGAGGCAGAGGGAATGAATAAAGAGACTAAAGTAAAACAAAAAACAAAAAACTCAAAGAATATTCAGTAGTGAGCAAGTATTATATAAACTAGATTAGACTGTTCATCCAGGCCAGTGGAAAAAATGACTAGAGTTCCAAGGACCTTGAGATCCAGTCTAAGAATTTGACAGACTTCTCCAATCCTTGCTACACCAGTGTAATCTCCAAACTAGCATGAGGATGCTCTGGACCCTTGATAGAAACGCAGATTTTCTGCCCAATTGACAAAAGGGCCTGGGTCCCTTAGCTCCACCCCTGGCTGGGAACCCAACATGTTTTACACAGGAATGGGTTAAATGGCTAGCGAGTGGAGAAAAGTTTCTGAGATTCCTTAATGTGAGAACCCCATGAGCTATGGTACCAAAACCCATTGGTGGAACCCTGACGTGGGCTACAGTTAGATTCAAAAAACATAAAGGTACAAAGGTTAATATGATTATAGCATTTGGGTGGTTTGAGAGGATGTTATGTGAAGAGCTTATGCCAACGTTGCCCGAATGTGCTATGGGAATGGATGTTAAGTCTAGCCGTGAAGGCTTCCCTGTCCAGTATTGTAAGAGCAAGTTTTGTTGATGGAATCCTAGTGGAGACTACCATTAAAGGTATAAAAGTTGATGGAATTGAGGTGAAGGTTTGTAGAAAAATTGGTGAACAGTCTTTGTGTAAAGTGGCTACATCTCTTGCCTGAATGTGTTGTGGAGATGGACACTGTGTCTCATTTGGGATTGTTTTCCCTCATCTGGTATTGTAGAACAGGGCATGTGAATCCACACTTCAGGAAACGTTAATTAAACAGGCTAAAGGGAGCCAGTAGGGTTGCCAGAGCCCACACAGGGTGAGGCAAAAGCTGGAAGCCAATATTCAAGGCCTAACAGAAGCAATTGTCTTTAGCTTGCAAATCTCTACGGAGTCAGAAATGTAAGCACCTTCCTCAGTCACCTGAAGCTGAGCCCAGTGAATTCAACTGATAGAACCTGAAACCAAAAGGGGGAAAAAAAAGAGGACAAGAGGACTTTTAAAAATATAAACTGCTAGAAAGGCTCCCTAACCCAAAATCTTAATTCACAGCCTCCTTAAAAACTACTTGTCAAAGGCAAATACAAATCTTAAAGCTCTCCTCCATGTGTACTAAAAAGACCATAACCACCAAAGCAAAAAAAAACTTATTCCAACTGTTATTTGTAAATTAGTGAGCTTTATATTATTATGTCTGATTCGTAAAGGAACACGGAATGAAAAGGCATTTTCTTAAGGAAAAAGAAAGAAATTTTTTCCTAAAGAGAGGTTAAACATAGGACAAAATCTAAATATACAAAAAGGAAGCTATAGAAATTTTGTGGAAAAGGACCCCTGAGAAAAGAGTTTTGTGCAGTCAAGACCAGCTAAGATTAAATTGAATTTAATTGAGTAAATATATTTTAATATCAAAAGTAAGCTGGTGCAAAGCTAGAATTTGGTAATTTGGTTTTCTCTCTCTGTTAAGAGAATAAACTTTTCTTGGACTATATTGATCTGCATTTTATAACAGATCCTACCTAGCTAATCTATTGTTAACTTTCTTCGCTTTCGAAATCTTCTATTGTCACTGATTAAGTGGTTAACTAAGTATTGTTTCACAATGATCTGTGGTCCTGTTTGGCCAAATGTTTTGAAAACTTTCAATATCTCTGATAAACTTCCCCAAATCAAATTTTAGATGAAGTCCTTTTAACCTGTAGCCAACTTTGAGATTTTTCAGAGCTGCCCATAAAACATCTCAAAGAGAGATTTTAAACTAATGAGGCTTTCTTGGCATGTTATTTTATATGGGAAACATCGTTAAAGAAGTGGTGATATTTGCATGGATAAATGTTATTACTATAAGTGTTCTAAAAATTATATAAAATTCCTAAAAAGCTGATGCTTCCTGGTAAAATGTGATCAGTTATAATTTGAGTTATCTTAAAATTTTATGTGTCACAGAAGTAACAAAATTTATCAATTGCATTTTAATGAATCAGATGTTAGACCATGCCATTTTAAGTCTTTTGTCATTTATAGACAGTTATTGTTTTGCTCTAAAGCTTTTACAAAAATGCTTCATCATGAAGACCATTCATAGGAAGAATTTTTTGACAAATAAAGGTTTCTGATAACTTCCAGATCATACCACTGAGTAAGAAATTACAGAACTCTAATGGAAAACTTGATGGCTTCATAAAATTGCTAACGAAAGATCAAGATCAACAAGAATTAATTACATAGAATGGAATGAACTGATGAATATAATTATAATTCTTACGACATTTTGTGTGAAATATTACTGGCTTTTTAATCTTTGTTTTATTGGTGTAAGGAAACCTTTTATCTTAAGCTAACTATGATTTACAGTCATTTGGAAGATTATACCTTTGTAAGCAGAAGTGAAACAGTTACCATTTCTCCCTGCCTGATCCCTCCAGAATTTGGAAACTCTTAGAGAGCGTTCTTATTTTCACGGCAATATCATTTTACATAAGTTCACTAAGAATCTGTTCTCTTGTAACAGGACACATTTGGAAATATCACTTATATTACCAAGGCTTTGACTAGAATTTCATATTTGAGGATGTGCATCAAATCAGATATGACCAGATAGCTTTGAGGAACAAAAATTGAAATTATTGAACGAAATTAACAAAAATTGAATTGGAGCCATAAAGCCCCTTGGAAAAATACCCTGGTACCTTGCTTACAGGTTTCCTAGCAGCCTTATCAGGTGAGTGAAGAAGATGAATTACTGGCAGGTGCAGGAACCTCAGGATATTTGGTGACCTCAGACAGACAGGTGTCCACCCAAATCTATAGGTATTACAAGCAAGTCTCATAGTAAGTTCTTGGCTTGGCTTCTTGGCTTCAAGAGGCATTTAAACATTCAGTCTGGAGGTTCCTTATGAAAAATTCCAGCAAAGCAGACCTAGAAGTGTCTATAAGGTCAGACTGTACTCTTGCAGGGCATAATGTAAATAATCAAGCCAGTTGTACCGAAACTAGACTATTTTGCAAGCAAATGAGCAAAATTTAGCCATTTTTAATAAAAATGAGATGATTTTAGAGAGAAAAAAATGTCTCAGTGGAACCTATTATAGACAGTTGCGGATATTAAGTTCTAGTTCTGTTAATTGTCTTTGAGGTTTTGTTTTTGCACCTATAAACGACTGGAGGCTGAATTACTCTGGGTTTCTTCAAATATTTGGCTTCAGCTCTCCAAACTAACATTTCCAGTTCTTCTCCCACTTTTGTCTTGGGATCATTGAGAACTAAAGCTGTCCTTTTCCTGAAGCCCTGCAAACAAAAACTAAACAACTTACTGTAAACTTAAGAGACATTACCACGACAGCCAGTGTTTAGACAAGCCTCATGTCTGCTGCTGTGTAAGTCATTTAGAAAGTTTACTTGGCCACCTGGTGACATCATCGGAGACAATCAAACTATAAACCAGGAAGATCCATCAGATTGTCACTACCTGCCCTCAGTCCACCTGACGCCCAGAAACATTCTTAACTGGCCGTTCGCAGGACTCAGACACTGGGTTTCTAATTTACTCCAACCATTAACCTTTGTTTTTCTTTTGTGTCCGTAGAAATATGTCTTATCAAATACCTGATTGCTTGCCCCTTATAGGCCTAACTTTGTGAGCCCACCTGCATCGCTGCCTCTTGAAATGAGTTTATCTGAACTGACCTATTGTCAGGACTAAGAGTCTGGCTCAATGAGACATGAAGTGATTTACCAGTTCAGCTCTGGACTGTGAAGTTTCTTGGAGGAATTTCAAAGGCAGGATTATAGGGTAGCAAAATTTGCCACCCCAAAGTGTTTGTCTTGCCACCCCAAACAACTCCAATAGAACTGTTAAAAAGTTATAAAATGGAGTTTTTAAATGGGCCCTCCTTTGAGATGGCTGCCATCTTTTTGATTAGAATATTGTCGTCAAAGTTCTATTGCCCTAGAAAGAAGTCTTCATGCCCCACTCAAAACTAGCTTTAGCATCACCATTGCTAAAGGCATGCAATTACTTTTAAAAGCATGAACATTGGTATTTTTACTCCCAAAGAAAACGTTACTATGTTGTTTAGTGACCCACTTGGAGGGGTACTTACAATGTATTTTTCTTTACTTTTTAAAAGAAAATTTTATGTAAAACTTTCCTCCAGTCCACTGTAGGTGTCTTTAGCCATCTCTTCCAGATAAATACAGAGCATCTGTTTGAATTGATTGAATTCAGCAGATCCCACTTCATGATCTTTTATTTATGTCTTCCCACATTTAAAATAAATAAGGTTAACACTGCTACAACAAGGTTGTATGGGTCTTCGAGGGATCTATTTTTTTCATCGCACCTCTTTTGTTCCATCTTGCTTAGCAAATCAGATGCTAGATATATTTTGATTAGTTTCTACTTTAATGGATCATGTATGCAGGGTCCACCTTTCACATTGGGGCCATTAATTTTTCTTGAGTCTGATGGGAAAAACAGGTAGAGCTTTTTGTGTGTGTGCTGATTGAAAAGTGATGGATTATTTTCATGTGGTAAGAAACACAATGTTTTCTTTAGCACAGCAGGATATGATGTTTGCAAGGTCTAACAGTGAAATATTATGCATATCTGCCGCTGGCCAGCTGCCAGAAATGGAACAGCAAAATCGGAGGAGATTTTGAGTTTGAATCTTAAAGCCAGTGCAGCCTACAAAGAAACTAATGAGCCATTCTAAGCAGAAAAGGCATTTGTACTAATAGTTGATTGCTGACATGCATGCCAGCACTTAACCAAATGGTAAATAATTATTCACTTAAAAACGTTACCTTGAACTTTATCTCAAAGGAAAAGAGAAAAGATCTTTATTCTGAGTGTAATTTCCAATAGGTACCACTGCAAGGA